TCACACGAATAGATACATGCACACCCATGTTCATTGCAGCACTGTTCACAATAGCAAAAAGGTGGAAACAACCTGGGTTCCCATCAACAGAGGAATGGATAAATAAATTACGGTACATACACCCAATGGAATACTGTGCGACGATAAAGAAAAATGAAGAATCCTCGAAACATCTCACAACATGGATGAATCTGGAGGGCGTTATGCTGAGTGAAATTAGTCACAAAGTGACAAATCGTGTATGAGATCGCTATTATAAGAACTCAAGAAAAGTTTTAAACACAGAAGAAAACATTCTTTGATGGTTACGAGGGTGGTGAGGGAGGGAGAGAGGAATTCACTAACCAGATTGTAGACAAGAATCACCTTGGGTGAAAGGAAGGACAACACACGATACAGGGGAAGTCAACACAACTGGCCTAAAGCAAAAGCTAAGAAGTTTCCTGAAAACAACCAAACACTTTGAGAGACAGAGTAGCCACGGCTGGGGTCTGGGGACCATGGTTTTGGGGGACATCTAGGTTAATTGGCATAACAAAGTTGATTAAGAAAATGTGTTGCATCCCACCTTGGTGAGTGGCTTCTGGGGTCTTAAAAGCTTGCGAGATGCCATCCAGGATACCTCAATTGGTCCCAAAAGAGCAAAGGAGAATTGGAACACCAAAGACACAAGGAAAATACTAGCCCAAGAGACAAAAGGGCCACATAAACCAGAGACTCCTTCAGCCTGAGACCAGAAGAGCTAGATGGTGCCTGGCTACCACTAATGACTGCCCAGACAAGGAACCCAACAGACAGTCCCTGACGGAGCAGGAGAAAAGTGTGGAACAGAACTCAAATTCACATAAAAAGACCAGACTTTATGATCTGACTGAGACTAGAAGAACCCCCAAAACCATGGTCCCTGGACGCTATGTTAACCCAGCACTAAAACCATTTCCGAGGACCACTCTTCAGAACAAAGATTAGACTGGACTATAAAACATAAAATGATGTTCGTGAAGAGTGTGCTTCTTAGTTCAAGCAGGAAATTTTAAAAAAGGAAAAAATATATGAGAAACATCTATTTTCAGACATTGGAGAGCAGGCAACATAGGATTGTGATTCTGAAAGGAGGGAAACAAATGGGATGAGCCCTAACATTGCCTAGGCTTTCCGCCTACAGGCAATTCCCTAGACAGTGATCCAAGGCTGTTGTTGTTGTATGCTACCGAGTCGATTCTGACTCACAGTGACCCTATAGGACAGAATAGAACTTCCCCATAAGGTTTCCAAGACTGTAATCTTTACAGAAGCAGACTGCCACGTCTTTCTCCTATGGAGCAGCTGGTGGGTTCGAACCGCCAACCTTTTGGTTAGCGGCCAAGCGCTTAACCACTGTGCCACCAGCCCAGAGTCTAACAGTTTTGCTGAGTTGAAGAGACAGAATCTGGAGTTCAGAGAGGCCAAAGGCAGCTAGAATTTGCTTATCAAAGTACTTGAGAGGAGGGGGCTACATAAAGAAAGAGCTTCAGAAATCTGTGTTTGAGTTCCCTTGAGTTCATCTGAAATCAAATTTGTGCACACATATAGTGAAAACCTACAAGACTGGACAAGAATAACTTGCTTAGAAAGAACAATTACCTGGAAATTGTAAGCAGAACAATTCCCAGAGGTCATGTAGGGCTGAGAATCATTTGAATTCCCACCAGTCAAGAGTTGAGAGACTTTATTGAATACATGGGACCTTCAGTAGAGATCCCAGAGGGTCCACCACTTAATATTGGAGCTAAATTAGCTCTAGAATAAACGTCTCTTTAGACTTACCCTAAAAGTGTTTAAAAGCAAAACTCATAAGGATTCAAATGACCCTTAAGCAACTTAACTACTGACCAGAAAAAGCCCAACACTCTTTAAAGGAATGTAACAAAATCCAGCACCCAGTAACTTAAATTTATAACATCTAGCATCCAATAAGAAATTATTAGATATGTGAAGAAGCAGGAAAATGTGATCCATTACCAGGATAAAAAATAGTCAATAGAAATAGACTTAGAAATGACAGAGAGGATGAAATTAGCAGATAAGGACATTAAAACAGCTACTATGAATATGCTCCATATTCCCAAGGATCTATAGGGAAATATGAACATAATAAGGAGACAACTGAAAGATAAAAAAAGATTCAAATGAAAATTATAGAACTGAAAAATGCAATATCTGAAATTAAAAATACACTGGAAGAGATTGACAACAGATTAGAAACTGAGGAATAAAAATCCATCATTTTATTTAGTCCTCATCATACCTCTGACTCACAAAAATTAAGAAGCTTGCCTAAGAGCACACAGGTAGGAAGTAACAAAGCTGTAATTTAACCCATTATCTCTAATGCTAGTACTTTTTCTATGAAACAAATCACTACCAACAATAATGTGATGTTATATTTCTGTAGAACTTGAAAGTTTGTGTATTTCTTTGGATGCCATTTTTCCACTTAGACCCAGTACCTCTGACAACTCTCTTCTATTTACTGATATATAACAAATATAAAATAGCACAGTCAGGACTAAATTTCAGCTTATTTTACTGAGCCTTATTATTTTCATCTATAAAAATGATTAACTGATAATGTGTATGTGGGCATGTTTGTATACTCTAAAGTGTTATACAGGGTTAAGTATTACAAATCTTTATAACGAGAGGGATAAGGACTCCCTGTCTGCCTGAATCTTCCAGCCAGTAAATAGCCCGAAAAGCCTACATCCCTTTAAGTTTGCCTTTAGGCAGAAACAAATAACCTAATAATCTAATCAGAAAACCTAGAGGACATTAAACGTTCCCAGATTGTAGGGGCCAATCCAGATTTGTCTACCTTGACTCAATAATCCCAAGACTGCGCTGAACTGTGTCAGGAAGCACTGGACTAGAACGCCAAAGACCTCAGTTTGAGTCATACAGTAGGACCTTAGACAATTCATTTAATCTAAGCATCGTTTCTTCAGCAATAAAATGGGAGATGAAATTACGTATCTTATCACAACATTGTTTGGAGGATTAAATGAGATAATAACAATTCAAAGGGCTTAGCACAGTGCTTGCAAACCCTCAGTAAATATTAGTTTTAATTATTGTAAGGAGTGAGAAAGCAGTCTATATACTCTAAAGCATTTTATAGATGTGATAGTGGACCCTCACAGCCTGAAGGCTTTCCTGCTCCAGCCTGAGACCAAAGAAAGAACACATTTCAATTGGTCTTCAGATGGTAGCCTCTCTTGCAGCATTCACCTACTCCTTTCTTACTCCTCCCAGCCAGTCCCAGAAGTTCACCTCACTCCACTCTCCTTTCCATTCCACCTTCCCTCAGGGGTTCCGCAGCTTTACTAGCTTTACTATTTGGATCCGTATTTGCAGGTCACCTGCACAAAATGAGAAGTCTTTTAGGTGGCTAGTCAAGTTCCAACTGCAAGTGTTCCAGATATCTGGGTGAAACTCAGGCCTGCAGCTGAGACCTTGAAATGGAAGCTCAAAGACCAAAGGAGAGTTGGTAGAGGAGAAAGTGGCTTTGCTACTTACTAGCTGTGATACCTGGGGCTAGTTACTTAACATCTCCATTCCTCAGTTTCCTGATCTATAAAATGAGGTTAATAGCCATACTTATTCATAGGGCTTTTATAAGGATAAAGTGAGTTAATATTTGTAAAGTATTTAAAACAGTGTTCACCACATAGGAAATGCTATATAAATTTTGTCAAGTAAGTATGAAAATAAATAAAAAGTTTTTGGCAAACAAACACGCTTGCTGGAGATCTAGGAGGAAGAATAGCTTGGGTTCAAGAAACTAAAAGAGGATTTAAAGAGAGCTGGAGGAATTTTGGAGGGTAAGGCACTCTAGAGAAATATTAGAGGTTTTTTGAGACTAAATCTTCTGATATCTTATCTCTGCCTTTGCTCATGCTGCTTCCTGAAGCAAGACTGCTCTTCTTCCCTTGTACAAATTTACCCATCTTTCAGGAGCCAACTCAAATGTCAACTCTTCTATAAAGCCTTCCCAGCTAGGTCGACACCCCTCTCTCCTACATCTGAACCCCTAAAACCCTTTATATATGCTTTCTTCTCTCAGCTTCTACTTTGCTTCCTCATTATTTTCTTATGTAGTTTGTTTCCATACTTGACTGTAAGCTCTTTGTAGGCAGGGCTGCGACGGCTCATTGGCTGAGAACTGATCCATGGGAGAAGAGGTTGGGATAGTGCCCACCCCCTCACCCCAGGAAATAGGTACAGAGGCTTGGGGAGCCCCCATCTGCTTTGGCTGGCTCTGGAGGAGTCTCCAAGGACATTACCCCCATAGATTGGGCACAGATACTAACATTCACCAAGATAATCCAAGATCTTGGTGGGAGGCCCTGGAAGAGAAGGAGGAAGCTGAGAGGGAAATGGAGGGACCTAGTTCAACTCACTTCCTGATCCCGGTGAGTGTATAGACAAGGCCATTCACTAGCCAGTTCTGCAGCACCCTCTCCTTCTGTAGACACAAAAGAGAGATCCTGGTCAGTCCTCTGCACCACTGATTCCAGAGAATAAGTGGGAGAGCTGTTTGGCTGGAGCAAGTGCTCATGGGGAGGAGAGCGGGAAGGAAACATGGTGGGTTTCCTTACAGTTTTGAAAGCTCTTCGGTCTCATTTGAGATTCTCAATAACTCATTGTGCCACACTGTTAGCGATTGTCACCCCAGTTTTACAAAGGACAAATTCAGTTTCAGAACTGCTGTATTACTGTGTGAGGTCACAAGAATGGGCAATAGTGGAGGCTAGGAGGAACCCAGTGCTTCCTACTTTAATTCTGTGTTCTTGGTTGTTATTTAAATTACACATGTAAAGTGTCTTGCATGTGGTTGGCACTTAATAATTGTTAGTTCCCTTCTCTATACACCCATCTTTCTTCTCCTGTTTCCTTGCCTGCCCCAAGGGCTCAGCTTTGTTGCTCTAAGTGACCATTTGGGTGGAGGTTCTGGGGCCCACATAGATGTGAGAACAGTAGGTGGTGGATGCAGAGGAGGGGAGCAGAAGAGGAGTATATTGTGCCAGTTCCCAGCCCAGTCTCACCCCTGAGTGGGTCTGGCAGCCAATGAGGGTTCTGCTGTAGGTGGTCTGGGTTAAGATGTCCCACAGGTTGCCAGGGCTTCTGCCAGGTTGATGATCACTGTCATCCCCTCAGTAAAGTCCACAAGGGCTTCAGACACCTGTCTAAACTGCAAGTCTTCATAGGAGACAGAGAACCTACCCAGGAAAGGAGTACACAAGGGAGGAGAAGGGAAAGGACATTTATACTGCAGCCTGGGATAGTTCAAATGAGTCTCATGAACCCCTCGTTCTGTTATTCTCTGAGCATGCGTCTGCTACTCTTTCCTTCCATCTCAGGGCCAAAGGAGGAAACGCATACTCAGTGTCCCTATCCCCTCTGAAAGGCAAAATTCCTGAATGCTTGTTCAGAGGTGGTTAGAGACCTTGGGTATATCATTTCTATGTTCATTGAAACATCTCTTGATATCTTACTTCATAAACTTTATCTGCTTCCACCCGCCTCCCTCAACATTAACAAGAGAAAGAGAAGGGGAGAGGAGGAGAAGAAAGGGAAGAGATTTCTGGTGGTTGTCTTAGTTGGCATAGGCCTTTTCCAGAAGTGTTCCCCAGACAAGTTCTTGTAGGTGGAGGAGACAAAGACCAGCTGGCCAGCCTCATTGACAGGACCCCAGTTCCCAAACTGCCAGAACTAAAGGGAGAGTGTACCTACCGGTGAGTGAAGATTACCATGGAAGATGGTCAGCACAGGAGGCAAGGACTCGGCTTCTTCAAGAATCCTCTTTCTTATGGCCCCTTGTGGGCTGAGGCACAAGGAGGACACTCTCCCAGAACTGGAAGACGCCAGCATACTTTTCAGTGAAACTCTAATTCAGGAGAATGACTCGGCTCAGAAAGTCCTGGTGCAAAGTCAGAGCTTGCAAAGAAGCCAAGAACCAATAGTCTCCTAAGCCAGACAGCATAAGATTCCATTCTGCAAGTATCTGCAGGAAACTACTGAGGACTTCTTGCATGCAAGAAATGCCCGGGTCCCAATTGATACCTTCTCTTAGCTTGTAGCCTAGTTAAGGAGAAGAGGAACATGTACTGGGGAGGAAGACATTAAGGAAGCAAAAAACCGGACATGGGGAACATTGATGGAATTCACTCAACATCAAGAACTGAGCCATATTCCTGGACCAGCTTCTTCTAGCTTCCTGAGTGCACTAACCTTGGGGATCTGGATAAAAAACACACCTAAGCTTTTCTACATTACACCTCTGTAAAAAGCCTCACCTCTCCTGGACTCTATTTTCCTGTATATGAAATGGTTATCACCGTACTCAGGCCTTCCCTGATAGTCACGGATAATTTCCACGTATTCCAAAAAGAACATTGGAATAACGGTATGCCTGCTTGGATCCTTTTCTGAAGAGTCTATAGGCTGGTGTTCCATAAAGGACCTCATTGTGGAAACTAGAGCAAACACATTTCTCAACACAAAATTTAGTCCTATGGGTTGACAACTGGTATTATCTGGAGGCTTAGCCAAGGTGTGACATTCCTATTCATTCTCAGAGGATCAACTTTTATAAACATTCCAGCAGAGGACAGAGCATGTCCTGGCAGAGTTCCGGGTTTGCTGCTGAGTAACCATTTGTGGCCCATCCCCTCTCCCCCATTGGGATCTCTCTATTTCCTTCTTCACTATCCCATTCTGCCTTGGCCAGGACAGGCTTGCAAGCAGCCTGGTGTGTGTCTCCAGGGGCTGTGCACACTTACCCACCACTCCCTGGCACAGATCCAGCCTTTTGGCTTTGGCAGAATAGAACTGGGAATTGCTGTACAGCTCCTGGGGAAATAGATGTGATTGTCATTCTGACCAAGAACAGAGAAGCTCCGGGAGCCACCACCACTGTCACCAGTTACTGTTGAGTAGAACTGCAGTCCAGAGGGTTTTCAATGGCTGTGGTCTTTTGAAAGTAGTTTGCCAGGCCTTTCTTCTGAGGTATCTCTGGGGGAATTTGAACCACCAACCTTTCAGTTAGTAGCAGAGATCTTAACCATTTGAACTACCCCGGAACTCCTCCTGGAGCTACAGTGACCATATTTTCCCATCCCTGAAAATTGGTCTTAGTTTTAGTATTCTATATTTTTCTTCTTGTTAGTTGCCATCAAGTCTACTCCAACTCATAGTTACCCCATGTGTGCAGAGTAAAACTGCTCCATAAGGTTTCAAGGCTGTGACCTTTCAGAAGTAGATCTCCAGGCCTGTCTTCTGAGCACCTCTGGGTGGGTTGGAACCACCAAATTTTCAGCTAGTAGTCGAGTGCTTAACTCTTTGCACCACCCAGAGACTCCTTCTATATATTCTTAGATGTAGAATTTATGTGAAATCAGGGCTGACCCAGAAAATCTGAGATGTAGATTCTTCACCTTGTATATACTTGGTTCTCTTGTTCCTTCGCACAGCTCAGGAAAGTCAGACTGATTCATGCAGACATTGAGAAATAGCACTTGTACCAAAAATGCCTTTTCTTAGAGTTTCTATTAAAAATGGAAGAACTTTTATGGGGTATTCTCATTTTTCCTGGAGATCTTCTTGTTCTCCTTAACTAACCCATACCCCTCTCTCTCCCTTGCCCCCAATACAATGGCCTCTTTTGCTTTGCGTGTGAGTGGGCTGCTGGTCTCTACTACATGGCAAGCACTCAATCTCTCAGTTTTTGCATGGGCACACTTCCTTAAGGAGGGTGACAGAGTCTCTATGTCAGCAGTTCCCAAGATTTTCTGGGGAAAGAGTGGAATCTTGACTGCCCACTTGGAGGCCCACTTGGGGACTTGATACATAGTAGGGACTTAATAGGTCTGGGGCTGCAGGTATTGAATGCGATGGCTGAGCAGAGAACAGGGAAGGGAGGAATTCCCTCGACCGTGTTCTTAAAATCATGTTTGTAAATCAAGTTTGGGGGAGATGGATTGCATCTGAACATATTAAAAAGTTGTCTTTTAAATGAATTGTTGATACATTTTATAAAGTGAAGAATACTGTCATAAAGTGATGACTAGTTTAATTTACATGTTTCATGAGCTCTGATTGGTAGGGATTGGAGATATGTTAAAATTTGTCACTCTGGCAGATGGTATTGGTGGTGACTCAAGATGTCTGGCTATCTCAGATGAAGCTACACAATACCTTGATCTATTTTTGGCTGCAGCTACTCTGCATATATCTAGGCAGAGGCTCAGGAAGAGATACATCTTAGATTAGTCTTACCTTTGGTTTCACCATCTGGAATATGGAAATATGGGAAATCACCCAGTTCCCTTCTCCAGGGGATCAATAAGAGAGAGTAAGGCCTAGTACCAGAAAGCCAAGATCCCTCAGGAGGGTCTGGAATGACACATGTGTGCTTTGTTCAGAAACCCAGCCCCTTACGCGAGGCCGCTTCCACTGCATGCGGGGTGGCAGCTTCTGCAGCAGGGGAATGCAGCCGATGGAGCTCGGGGTGGCTGGAAAGCTTTCGTCTTCAGAGGCAGTAGTTCCTCAGGCAGCTTTCCAGCAATGCCTGGTAGTCCTGTTTGGGGAGCTGAGAACAGCTCCTTACCAAGTTTTTCCTTACCATCTTCCATCTTCCTCGGAGAGACGGCCACAGAGACATGATGGCAGGTTGCTACGGTCCCCACAGGTCTTCCTAGATTTTGTTTATTTCTCCTGAAATGGAGAGCAGATGATCAGTTGATTCACTTCCTCTTTATGCTTTGCCATTTCACAAAGAGAGGAGGAATGTGGAGAGAAGGTAAGAGAGAAATGACCCTGTGAGAAAAGTGATTAGTTCAAGTCTTATCCCAGAGAGCAGGGGTCCATGAGTATATACTCAAGTGTTTGAGGTCCTGGTGGGGGGGTCCAGGCTCCCAAAACAAAGGCTTTCAGGAAAGATGTGGACTCTCTAGCCTCAGGAATAGGCCCTAGACCTCTGACTGCTCCAAGATCACAGGGCCACTTCTGCTCAGCAGAGGGGATGGGAGGGGAGAGGCAGGAAGATGCAGCTTAGCCCAGTGGGCTGGAGGGTCCCTGCATCTGATAAGGCAGCAGGGAGAAATGGTTTCCCCTTCCTGTTTTCCCACAGAAGGCCTCCTTCCTTTTGTCTCTGAGCTTCACACACATGTGTTTCTCCTGCTCGAAGATCTTCCTCATTCCTCCTTGTACAACCGTGACTCTGGCTCTCCTCCTTCTACACATTTTCTTCAAAACTAACTCCTTCTTTGACTTTCTGCCTATGTTAAAGAAAACAATTTGCATACATATATTGTACCAAACACAGGTAGTTGTCTAGTACCTGCCCAACACCCATTCCCCTCCTTTTGTTATTAACAGCATCCAAATTTTGATCACCTAGCTATTAAACTTGATTTCCTAGACTTTCTTGCAGCAGGTTAGACACACAATGTAGTCTGGCCATGAGGTTAAGATAAAAGTTTACTGGGCAGGGCTTTTAGAAAAGCTGTGGTTTTCCCAATAAAATGGGATAACCTTAGCTGGCACCACTTTTGGCATTCCTCCTTTCCTCTTCCTAGAAAGCAGATGTGATACCTGGAGATGGAGCAGTGGTCTTGGGACCATTAGGACAACAGTCACATGCTAGAAGAAGCCTGGATTTTAATGACTTCCTTGGACAGATGTACCCTATCGTCTTTTAATTTGTGCCTCTCAAATTATCACTAGTGAAGGACCTGTACTTTTTATTCCCAATTTGTCAGACTGATACCTTTGAAATATTTAATGAAAATGAGTTAATAGAAAAATAAAAATCAAAAAAAGTACACAAAAATACAAAGTCTTTTTTATTTTCAGATTCAACAGAAATAAAATTATTTGGTCTAGTTGCCATGAAAATTTCTAAACATTTGCCCTCAGTTTTGTACCTAGCGCATCATGAACTGATAACAAGTTTGTGGAATGGCCTGCCCATGCACCCCAATTTCAGCTCAACTCTGAGGGTCTTATGAGAAGAAACCTCCTCTGCCCTACTACCTTCTTTTAATCCCCCATGGGATCACACCGGTGAAATGTTGTTTGTCTCCTACCCTTACCTCTCTCCCAAGTTTGGGCAGCCTGATTTCCAGCTACTCTTACTTGTCACAGATGCATTCATACTTCCTGGAGGAAGACCCAGCACTCTCTGAACCCTGGGTTATAGATATTCAAAAGCTGCTACTTAGGTCTTGGGTTTCCCTCAAATTTTTCTTCCTAATATGGACTATCAGGCAAAGCTTCCTCCAATCTCACCCCATTTTCTTCCCCCAAATTTCTTCTACCACATTTACATTTGAAAACAAACACTGGGTCACGTAAAGCCAGGGTCTTGCTTTTTTTTTTTTTTTAATTGTGCTTTAGGTGAAACTTTATACAGCAGATTAGTTTCTCATTCAACAATTTATACACAAATTGTTTTGTGACATTGACTGCAATCCTTGTGATGTGTCAACACTCTCCCCTTCCACACCCCAATTCCCCTTTTCCCTGCATCCATTATTCCTGTCCCTTCTTGCCTTCTCATCATTGCTTTTATGCAGTTGTTGCCATTTTGGTCTTGTATATATGACTGAACTAAGAAGCACATTCCTCACATGTGTTATTATTTCTTTTATAGACTTGTTTTAATCTCTGGCTGATATTGGGGGAGTTTTCTGTCAGCAGTTCTTCAATGATTCTCTCTGTATTTTCTGTTTTCTACCCCGTCCTGGAACTCGGATCACTCGAAAATTTTTGCTTTTGATTGTATCCCACATAACTCTCAGTGTTTCATTTTTCTTCATTCTTTTTTCTGATTTTTCCTCCAACAGGGTTGTATCCAAGTGTTTGTCTTCAATTTCGCTGATCCTGTCTTCCATTGTTTCAAACCTGCTCCTCAGCCCTTCCATGACACTCTCCATTTCTGAAATCTTGCTGTTTATCTTTTGGATTTCTAATTGTTGTTCTTATATGATTTCTAGTTGTGAATTTATTTTGTCATTTTGTTCCTGTATTATTTTCCTTAATTCTTCCATTTTTGTTCTGTATTTTTGTCCATTTTTTCCTCATTTTTATCTGTTTTTTGCTTCAACTCTTGGATAGCTCTGAATATTAGAGATTTGAATTCCCTATCAGGTAGTTCTAGTGCCTTTTCTTCTACTGGAAAGTCTTCTGGTGTTTTATTTTGAATTCTTACTGGAACCATCCTGTCCTTTTTTAATATATGTTTTGATATTGTTTGTTGTATTTGGGACATTCAGTAGTTATTTTCCTCATTTATTGATTGTAGATTTGTTTGTTTCATCTTGATTTTTTGTTTTATTTGGTTATATCTGTTTTCTTTGTTGTTTGCTCTTCTGTGGGCATGATACTTTTCACCTCCTTGTCCAATGGGCAGGGTCAGTAGCTCAGCCATGGTGCAGCAGGGCAGGTCCAGCTGAAGGGGAGTTTCTGGGATGGGTTGTTTGTGGTATATACTAGGGCAAACAGAGTGGGCTCAAAATCAGTGCAGGGAAGATGCCTGTGCTGCCTGAATGTGTGATGTTCAGTGCACTGTGCAGGTAGGCAGGAAGGGGGGGCGGAGAGTGTGATATGTGAAGCTAAGATGGGTATGGGAAGGAGAAGAGAGGAGAGAGAAACTGAAGCCAAAACCAAACAAACAAAAAAGAGTGCTAAGGGAGCTTGCTGTTGGAGTGGAAAGATGAGAGACTGAGAAATGGAGAAAAACAAAAAGAAGAAAAGGAAAAGTGTAGAAGAAAATAAATAAAAATTAGAAAAAAAAAAAAAAGAAAATCCCCAGGGATCCCACTGGTGTGGCTATGAAGACTGGGGAAGTGGCTCCCAGGCAGCGAAGTACAGCCTGGTAGAAGGGGTAAAGGTGTCACACAGCACCAGGTATTCAGGAGACAGGAAGAGAAGGTAAGTATAGACAGAAGAGAAACTGAGAGAGGAAGAAAGACAAAAAGGGAAAAAGAGAGAAAAGAAACCAAAAAAAAAAAAGAACTGCCCCCCAGGGATCCCACTGGGCAGCTGCACAGATTGAGGAAGTAGCTCCCAAGCCGTGCAGTACAGCCCATCTAGAAGGGGCTCCCAACCTGATAAAATAAAAAGAAAACAAACAAACAAAATCAAAACAGAACAAATAAAAAAAAAAAAGCCACAGGGATCCCACCAGCATGGCGGCATGGTCTGGAAGCAGTTCCACAGTTGAGTGGCTTTTCACAGCCTTTCAAGAAGAAGCAAAGATGGCACATAGAGCCAGGTGTTTGAGAGAAAGGAGGGGGAGGTGTTGAGAGGTACGGAAGAAACCAAAAGAAGCAGAAAAAAGCAACACCAGCAACAAACAAATGGCACTCAGGGAGCTGACCAGTGTGGGCAGGTGGAATCCAAGCAGCACAGGGCTGAAGCCAGTGCCTCCCAGCCAAGAGACTCCGGCTGCAGGAAGCAGAGGAGGCCGAGTGGGGGTGAAGAAGGTGGGGGTGGGAAAGCGTATATCGCTGGTTACCAGTTATTCTGTCTCTTGGGGGCTCCATGAAGTTGCTTTCCTGTACTCTCTGTTTACCAATATGACAGGAGTCCAAGATGGCGAATCCGTGCTGCATTAGCTGATAGGGGACCTCTGCACATATCTCTCCTTGCTCTCTGTTCTCTGTCAGTTTCTTATTCTATTCAGTGCTTGGCTGAGTTCTTTATCTCTTCATTTGATGATTAGGATTTCAGGATTGATGTTTGTCTGTTTGACATAGTTTTTTGGATCTTTGCTGTGGAGGGACGGTGTGGTGATTCTGTCTATAGCGCCATGTTGCCTGGAAGTCCCCATCATTGTTCTTTATTGCTGCATAGTATTTCACTGTGTGTATGTACCATAATTTATTTATCCATTCATCTGTTGATGGGCACTTAAGTTGTTTCCATCTTTTTGCTATTGTGAATAATGCTTCAAAGAACGTGGGTGTGCATATGTCTATTCATGTGATGGCTCTTATTTCTCTAAGATATATTCCTAGGAGTGGGATTGCTAGATCATACGGTATTTCTATTTCTAACTTTTTAAGGAAGCACCATATTGTTTTCCAAGATGGTTGTATCACTTTGCATTCCCATCAGCAGTACATAAGAGTTCTGATCTCTACTGGCCTAAAGGAGACTGGAGAAACCTCGAGCGTATGGCCCCCAGACACCCTTTTAGCTCAGTGGTGAAGTTACCTCCAAGGGTCACTGTTCAGCCTGGGAGTGGACAGCCCCGTAAAACCAAATGAGACTAACGAGGTACAGGAGTCCAGTGACAAGGACCAGAAGGCAGAAGGGGACAAGGAAGCTGGTGATAGGGAACCCAAGGTTGAGTAAGGATATTGTTGATGTGTTGTGAGATTGTTAACCATTGTCATAGGGCAACATTTGTAGTAACTGTTAAATGAGAAACTCTTTTGTCCTGTAAGCCTTCATCTTAAGTGAGAATAGCAGCACAATTGGAAGAGCATAGTCAATGTCACTGAACTGTGCATGTAGAAATTTTTGAAATGGTGTATCTTTGGCGCTGTGTATTTTCGCCAAAAAAAAAAAGGTTGAGAAGTGAGAGGATTAATATGTTGTGGGTTTGTTAACCAATGTCATAAAACAACATGTGTACTACTGTTTCATGAGAAA